AGAGTGTATTTCGATGACACGCAGTGAGGCATTTTATTTCTGATGCACCCAACCAGTTATCAATACACTCCTTGTAGAGTTGTGTGTATGTGTGGTAATCCTTTTTCAATAGGCAGAGATCTGAAAAAGCTTTTGTAGAAACACACACACACACACACGCACACACACACACACACACACATACATGTGCTGGAAAACAATAAAACACCTTCACTAATCTGCACGCTGTGTGTGTGTGTGTATACTGTATGTGTGTGTTTTACACCTGCAACACAGTGCTATAAGGTACCCAGTCTTAGAGGAAAAAGCCCCTTTCTCACATACACATTGTCACATAAATGTGACTGCAATTCTGCCTGCAGTTCTCCTGAACACCTCAGTCACTGTTACATACTGTACAACATCATGGAGTTTTTCTGACCCTGTCAGTGTATTTATATTACACTTCCAACACCACACAAATCCGAATTAAATGCCACCAAATTAATGTAAAGGCATGCGGAGGGAGGCTTTCTTAAGCTCACTGTAATAATTTATGCACTTAGTTATCATGTCCTATGCATAAGGAAAATAAAATCTGTTTCATAAACCACCACCACCAATAAATGAGAACATTTTACATAAACTACCAGTCAAAGGTTTGGCAACACTCTCTCAGTCAGTTCAATAGGAAAGTGTGTCCAAACATTTAACTGGTAGTGTTTATGTCATATATAGCAACTGACATTACGGTTGGAGATGCTAAACAAAAGCACTTAATGCTAAGCTTGGTTAAGTCATGAGTTTAACTCCTTACTGTAACATACATATGAGACTGATCATAATCTTCTTATCTCAGTTTCAGAAAGAAGGCAAATAATTGCTTCTTTTTTCACAATTCATGGTGGATAAAGCTTGTTTTTCTGGTGTAAATTCAATGAACAAATTACCTCCAACTGTGGAGTTGCTGAAAAAACTGAACCTTCAAAAACCTCTGAAGTCCATGAGTAAATGTGTAAATCTTTTGCCTCATCAGACTACTACTGTGGGTGTTAAACACCTCTTGCTGATCAAATATGTGTGTGATGTGTTTCTTAGACATCACTGCAGAGCTAAAGGTTTGTAAAATGTGTTTATCTGTGAGGTAGAGAATATAGCATTTGACATGCAGGGATGAATACCCATTGTGTGTGTGTGTGTGTGTGTGTGTTTCATCCACATGTGTCTGAAATATTGCATTTGTCTGGCAGAGCTAAATTAATGTTTCGGTAATCTGTGTGTGTGCTCTGCAGAGATAAGTCATGGTGTTGAAAACAATGATCGGAAAAATACAGGTCACCTCAGGAAAAGCTAAGCAAAAAGCAGTGTTGATCTATACTGAACCATGCATGTGCACATGTTTGTCTCTTTTACTCAACTAAATTTAGACTGGGCTTGAAATACAGTCCTTGTGTTCTTTGCACAGTGATGTGTTTTATATGAAAATCAGAAGAAATAAAGACAGAGACTCGTATATTAACGTCAGTCAGGTTTGAAAATACACAGGAGGTTTGAGAGCTGTCAGTCAATGAATCAGTTGTTTAATTAGTTTATCAATTATCTGGTGTGCCGGGATTGTAGTCAGCCAGTAAACCACTCGATAGAAAACCAGCCAACCAGTGACACTTGTATCAAATCAGCCAGTAAAACAGTGAGTTCATAAGCAACCCAGTCAGTACGTCCATTTTTAAACCAGCCAGTTTTCAATAGTTACCCACTAAGAAGTCAGTCAGTAAATAGGCAAGCCAGTCAGTAAGTCAGAACCTAACCTAGCCAGTAAATTAATCAGTTTTGTACTGAAAACAGCAAGTATCTGGTTATTAATTCAAAGAGAATACAGGTATTTCCAGCCTGTAAATGAGTCAGTGAACTAGTCACTTAATAAATCAGCTGGTAAACCGATCAACTTGGTTCTCTGTGTCTCAGTCAACAGTTAGCCATTTAGCCAGTCAACCATCCCGTTACCCCTGAGTTGGAGAACTCGTTGGCCTGTTGCATGCTTCTTACGCTGGGCTCCATAGTCACAACATAGACTGTTTTTGGTCTCTGTGTCCAACATTATTCTGGTTGGCTCCCATCGACAAGCAGCTGTGCATTGCTTCTTATTAGAGAAGGGGAGGTTTGGGTTTGATTAGGGAACATATTGAGCCCTTAAGTCAGCAAGGCAACTAGTCTGTCAGTAAACCTTGCAGGTGCCCTGTCAGCAACTCACCGAGAAAACCAGTTAGTCAGTAACACCCCAATTAGTCCGACAAAGTGGCATGGGTCAAAATGGTGTCAGGGATCAATCTGAATGGGTCGGTATGTGTCAGCCCACCATCCTTCACACAGTACTGCCCTGGTTTGGCAAAATAGCATTTCTTTAAGGAAAGAATGTTTATTTAATCAGTGATGTTTAAAACTCATTGAAGTGAGAGTGAGAGAAAAGGATGCATGGATGAGAGGGAGTGTGCATATGGACAACTCAGCTTTTATCTGCGTAATATAATCCAGTGTAATTCTGCATTTTATCAGTTAAATGTACAGTGTGGGTCTCCATGAAAAGCTAGAGTTGCTTAAATGGGTCAAATGCATGTCGAGCAGATCCACAACATACTGTATCTGCTGTCTGAAAGGTGTTTAAATCAGCCAGTAAGCCAGTTCTGGAACCACTCAATAACCAGTTAATCAGTCTGTATGCCTGACAGTTGGTAAAGCATCCAGTTATCCCATCTGCTACTCACTGAGCAAAAAAACTGACAAAACTCTGCACACGATTGTGTAACAGGTGCGTCAGAGGGAAACAACAGCTTGTAAACATGTTTAAAAAATCTTGCACACTGTCCTGCTTAGGCTGAATAGTTTATCAAGTCAACAATGTTTCAGTCTATATTACCTTCATCAGGTATGTCAGTAAACATCTCCTCCTTCCACTTATATACACCATCTGTTACCCCCACTAATCCAGTCAGGGACAGGTTCAAATCAATGAATCTGAAACTGCTTTGCAATACACTCCCTTATTAGTATCAAAACATGAGACATTTCCTACAAAATACAAATAGCAACTCAATGAAATTGCCAAATAAGTAGTTAAAAAACACAGTAAATAGAGGGACATAAGTTAACATATTCCAAAAACACACAGTTTCAGTGCATCAGGAAACCGAGCAAATTGGCTTTAAACTGTATTCAGTAAAGAGAGTAACTAATTTCAAATGTCGTTTAAACAATTCTGAAATGTGTCTGCTCCTGGGAACCCCCACCTCCATCAGACAAAAACACATCTTTAGGAATGCCTTTCAGCACATGTACAAAATCAGTCAAAGGAAAAATATTATTCTCAACTACTGTCCAAATAGTACTGTCACTTGTTAATTCCAGGGTGCCCCACCTGGGGCAAAATCAGCAAAATCCTAACCTTTCCTGTCTGTTTGTTATGCACATGAGCACTTGAAAAGCTGTAAAAACTTGAGGAATCTGTGCTCTCCATCAGAACTTGGGAAGTTAGGATTGTCTAATTCCTTACAAAATTACAGAAACCAGGTTTCTTGTTTACACGACAGTTAAGAAATTGCAACTGCAAACTGGTTACTTAAGTGCATGTACAGTATATGCAGTCAATCAGCTCCTAAACAGTGAGTCTGTCATACACACACAGATTTCTTGCATTAGTGTCTCTCCCTCACACACAAAACCAATACTTCCAATCCTCCCTGTGTGTGTATTGACTCTGTATTGACTGCATAATGTCAGAGTGATCTTGACTGTGAAAGCAGTCATGCTGCCAGGTTGAACACACTGAACCCTGCATGTGTGTGTGAATTGGGGGAGCTAATATAGAACGAGTATATGAAATTAAATTTCTAGGTGTCATAGTTGATGACAAATTCACCTGGAAATCTCATATCAGATATATTCAGCATAAAATAGCAAAAAATATATTGATATTGGCAAGGGTTAGATATATTTTGGATGGGAAAGCACTACATATTTTGTATTCTTCATTGATTTTACCATACTTAGAGTATGGCGTTGAAAACTTGGGAAATACATACAGAAGCTCACTTCAACCATTGTATATATTACAAAAAAGAGTGATAAGAATTGTGCATAAGATGGGATATAGGGATCACACCAATGTAGCTTTCATACAGTCTAAATTGTTAAAAATTTTCGATTTAGTGGGATATAAGACTGCTGTGTTTTTGTATAAAGCCAGGAACAATTTATTACCTGGTGGAATTCAAAAACTATTTAATGAAAGGGAAGGGGGATACAATTTAAGGGGTCAGTTAAATTTAAAAATTCATGCTATACGTACAACCAAAAAAAGATTTTGTATTTCCATAAGTGGGGTAAAACTATGGAATAATTTAAGTGTGGACATAAAAAATAGTAATAGAATTGACGAGTTTAAACATAAATATAAAGGTATGTGTCAATATCAGCTGTCTTTACACGCTTGAAAGAATAAATAAATAAATCAAATCAATTGAATATTTTCAGTATGAACTCACAAACCATCTCAGTTTAGTTGGTTTAATTAATTAAATGTTATTTATTCCGCCATTAACTCAAACCATCAAACATTTCCTGTATCCAGATTTAGCACTGCTCTCTTTTTTCACATCATCATACACTGAATCACTTTGGGTTGGCAAACCACTGGTCAGACTGAAAGCATCAGTCTAGACTGTTAATGAACATACTGTGTGCCATTTATAGATCTGTAATTTATATACTTGGAATACAGTATATGTACATACACTCAGTGGCCTTTAATTAGCTACACCCATACAGTCTAATGCAATCCAGTACAACAGTTCTGCCATAAATCCTACATCTATGATGCCTATAATGACTGTTTCTTTTATATCTCTCTTTTAACACCATCATAGAGTTGATAACTCACTTGCATATTCAGCACTGAGATCATAGTCAGTGATGTATTTTACTGGAGGCCAATATGTGGAGAAGTGTTGCTGATATTTCCCCTCATGTACATAATAGGAAGGAAAAAATATCCAAGTTACCGAGTTATTATGTGACACCATCTTTTTATGACCTCAGTAATAAATATTATATTAACACATTTCTGAAAATGTCTTTAGACTGTGCAGCTGTAATAAAGTAGCCATATACCATTTTAGTTTTTAGTTTTCACTAATGATAGTGACTGTGTGTGTGTGTGTGTGTGTGTGTGTGTGTGTGTTGTAATAATAATTAAGATTATTTCATTAAATGTCCTAATGTTGGTTATTAACCTCATTGGTTGTCAGGACAATTAGCTCCTTGCATTCCCACTGCATTCTATCAGCACTGTGACTGTTTCCAATTACAGCAACCTTTCTAAATGAAATTAAACATTTCAATATTGCTGATATATTGCCATTATAGTGCCAGTATTAATTAAAGGAGCTGTAGCTGTGATGTGGAATCAATGGAGATGAATCGCGCAGCTCGGCCATCCGTCCACCCATCACTCCCACCCTTCCTCTAACTCTCTCCCCCCAGTCATTTGTTAACAAGGTGGCCTTGCTGGGCCTCTCTCCCTCTCTGTCGCTTTCTCAAACACATACACACACTCAGAGGGGGGTGTGGCCAGCTGTTAGGGTGTGTGTGTCTAATTTCTGTTGCATTGTGGGAGTCCATTATGCTGTCGTCTGGTGACTGGCTCCCATTGACTCGGTCTTGGTATTATAAGCTGCCCACTAATCTCTTCACTCCATATATTAGTAAGGCTTGATCTCTCTGCCTCACTGTTGCTTTTCTCAGTTTTATCTAATTTTTCTCCTATTTAAATGTCTGTTTTTGTCCTTTTCTTGTTTTTGTTTTCTTGAAATGATAAGTATTGTGATATTCTATATCTTTCATATTGTCAACAAATCTCGTAAAAAGATGTAAACCAAGTATTGTGTGTGTATCCAGTGTGCCACAGAGCTCCCTTTTGTCCAGAAACTGTTGCGAGCACATCAGTGAGCCACACACATTCCTTCTTTAACATGGACACACACTGTAGTTTATTTTGACCCAGTGCCACATGCCCTGTACCAGAAATGATCAATAGAGCACAAAATGTGTCCCCAACAATACTGCATACACCACTTCAACAAAGGTGACAGCCAGACTCAAGTCATGATGATAGCAGTGTGACGATATACTTACCTCACGATAAGACGAGACGATATTTTAACATTACTTTTAAGAAATCTTCAATGATAAAATGTATGACTGGATAAAAGAGTCTTATTTGACTGAAAGTCTTTCTCTCCACAGTATTACAATGGGTTTGCCCCTCAACCCGCCAGCAGATTCAGCTCGCTCAGCCCGCCACGCCCTCTCTCTTATCGCTACCGCCCGGCCACCCGCCTTCATCACCACCATTGCAAGAGAGGTAAGACTTAAGTCTTCTTTGCAAACAGCTGCTTCAAAAAGTCATCAGTCACCACTTTTGATATATTTCTACATGGACTGTGTTGCAAGCTCACTTTAGTTGTTATGAAAGGTCCTACAGGAAGGGCTGGGAGTCCGTGGTAAAACTCAGGTATCAGATTAGCAGGAAAAGTGAAACGTGAAAAAACAAACACTGCTAAAACCTGCACAGGCAAACTCTGAAAGCACACACACCCAACTGAATGTATCTCATTGTGTCATTTCATGTACATACATGTACTCTTCTTCCTCCAGTAATAACATATATGTGTACTATATGCAATGTTGTTTGCCAGGTTCATCGGTACAATGCAGCCCAGGCCAACTCTCAGTCACAGCAGAACATTCACACCACCACTCTGGCCAGAGCCAAGACTGAGATACTGCGAGTGATCGACATCTTGATAGAGAAGATGCCCGGTGACGTCGTCGATCTGCTGGTCGAGGTAAACAACATTACATATCAGAGCTTGTGTTTCTAATTTATAGCAGTAGTACATTTTTGCTTTACCAAAAAAAAACATCTATTATAGGAAACATCATCACCTCCTACTCTTCATCTTCATGCTCTCCTCCTCAGGTGATGGATATTATCATGTACTGTATTGAAGGTTCTCTGGTAAAGAAGAAAGGACTGCAGGGGTGTTTCCCTGCAATCTGCAAGTAAGTGGGTGTATGGGTGTGTTAACAAGCCTCCGACATTTTTGTATGAGGTCAATGGACTGGGGAGGAATTAACACAAACTGACTGACCCCCTTGGTGTGTATGCTGATGTCAGAGGTCAGGGTTCAGCTCACAGGTGACATATATGTCTCAGGGCATGTGAATGAACCAGATGACACTGTGCATGTGAATACATTGTGTTTGTGTTTTTCTGACACTTCTTGGCCTCAACTTAACAATGCTGTTTGTCTTTCACATTGTGTGTATTTTTACAAAAACAATACAGTTATGTGCAAACATGTTGAGGATATGAAGTGTTGTAATTTTTTAATGAAATCATATTTTCTACCTTACCTATACTGTAGTGTAGTTGTGGTTGTGTTTCTTGGATAAAGTGCTACATGCCCAGTTGAATGTTAATGTGTTAATATATGTTTGTTGCCTACTTTCTCAGGTTCTACATGGTTGCATACTGTGACCGCAGTTACCGCATTGCTGTCGGAGCTCGCCAGGGTTCAGTGGCCCTCTATGATGTTCGTACTGGAAAATGCCAGGTATATTCAGAATGTGCCATCGCTGATATCAGCAGCTGTTTGATCGCATCAGTTTCTGAAAGTTAAGCCTTCGCCTGCGTGCAACTTATAGCCGTTCATCCTGTCTCACAGTCATTTCCTTCTCTCCTACTGTACCTTCATCTGCTCACCAGTCATATCCATCCATCCAGTCTATGGTTTATCCCTCATCTTTTAATCCACCCTCCCCTTTGTCTTCCCTTCCATCCACCCTTCATTCCCTTGCTCTGTCTGTATATCCTTTAATTATATTCTGAAACCTTTCCATCTGTTTCTCCACCACTTTGTACCCTCAACCTTTCATATGTTCATCTCTCATCCATCCATCCATCACTTCAGTCAGTGCTACTGTACAGTACATCCATCCATGACTAAACTGATCATCAATTAATTAATCGTTTAGCTATTTGTTTTTACTTTTTTTTAATCCTTCAGTTTCCTTAGTTATACCGTAAAGCAACCATTTTCCATTATTTGATTCATATCTCACTCTGTCCATGTAAAGAACATATTGCCTCTAATGAGAAGAGAGTAGTGGAAACAAGAGGACAGCAGTAACGAGGGGTGGTAATAAGAGGGGGCGAGCAGAGGGGTTTTGTCGCTTGCTGTGTTGTTGGAGTTTATATTTTCTTTCAGTAACTGATTAATGAAGAAGCAATGGCTGTCATGTTTTTGTCTTTGCACACATTTATATTTGATTGTGTATGTGTGTGCACAATCTATGTTTTTACTAGGCTTATTGTTTGTGTGCATTTCTGTGTGAGTGTGTGTTTTCGTAATTTGCTGCGTATTGATTTGCAGTAACCTGAGCAGTCTAGTCTGGTGGAGGGGGTCATTTATATCTGATAACAGCACTGGCCCCTGTTCACCCAACATCTAGTTTGATTGTTGTGTATGTTGGTGTTTTTGTTTGTGTGCACAGTATAAAGACAGGAGATGCTTTTTCTTTGTGTGTTATTTGCAGTAATTAACACTTAATAGATAATGGCTTTTCTGGAAGTGTGTGTGTACATGCTGGAACCGTTTCAAGTGTTTCATTTCAAATGTGAGATAAAGTTATTGTCTTTATTAATAGGCCTAGGTATCTTTTCAGAGCAATTCTGTCTTCTTCTTATCGATTCTGCTACTTATTGATACTCATGTTTCTAAGCAACATTTTTAGCAGATTTTGCTGCCACATAATTTGTCATAATGGTGACCAAGCATCCAGTCAACACTCAGGCAATGTTTTAGTCTGGTAATTAGTCACAGCAGCACACTGTTTCTCGTCTTTGCTGTTGCAGACTGTTTCTAAAGATATTGAATGAATTGCCGTGAAAGTTTGCCACCATAAACTTGACATTTGTGGTACAGAGTCAGGTTTCTGATGACTGGGTGCATTGCGGTTACATGTGTTAAATATAAATATAATGTACAGTATATAATTTTAGTATCAGTCCCTGAAGGAAGTGTTTTAAATATCACCAGATGGATGTTAAAACAAAAAAAACAGAATGTGGTGATTAAACAAAGAGCTGCAAGTGACTGACAATTACTGCAAAACTCCAACATGTCACTAAGGTACAGTAAGAGACACCTTACGATTTCTGTTGTAGGGAATTTTTTTGATGTGAAGCTGAATGAAGTTATAGCCTCATTTTTGAGTGCTGCAAAAGCTCATCTTTGTCACATTGAAGCTGAGGTAATAGGAGATATACAGTATCTTTGTATGTCCAAAGTTTGCTTTTAAGAATGAATTTGTTAATGAGTGAAATCTAAAAGCGTGTCTCTAAACAAAACCCAGGTTGTTACTGTGGAACCACTCCAAAGCAGCACCAATTCTTTATATCCAATCTTTTTCAATAAGATAGCAATTTTATTTGTAAGTGATACTTCATCCAAAATCAATTCAGCATTGATCTCCTGTAGATTTGAAATGTGGCTTTACAGACTTTATTGTGTCCTCCAATAGCAGCTGTCAGTTTGTGTTCATGTTAGGTAAAATAAATTCCACTAGAGAACAGTTTGCACCATGGAAATATAATTTTAACACATCCATAGAAATTGCCAAGCCACTTTAGAAACTTTTGGATAAATAGCAACATTTGAGTGAAAATCACCTTTTTGAAAAGGTGTATGATGACCCTTGTTTAGTCAGTCGACAGATTATTGCCTTTAGGAAGATAGTTCCAACTTTTTTTTTTTTTTTTTTTAAATAGATGTTCTGTGTGTTTCATTTGTATAATAAAGAGAAAATGAGGATGAGGGATGATGGGTAAAAATAAGGAAACTAAAGATAATGAAAGAAGGAAGTATGAGGAGAGAAGAGAGGAAGGAGAAGTTTCTGTTCATAATCCCTGAGTGTGTGTGTGTGTCCAACCGTAGCTAGCTAGCCCCTGCATGACCATCTGCCACAGCTTTGATCAGCCTCCATGAACAGCTCTTTGTCAGCTGCATTACACTGTGTGTGTGTCCAGCTGCTTGCCCTGCTTCTTTAAAAGACTACTGAGTCTACTAATTGACCACAGAGAAACAATCTGACTGATCTTTCTCTCTGTCTCCTTCAAGCCCTCAGCATCAGCACTGGGGCTGTGAAGTAAATCTGGCATAGCGGCCAAACCGCGTTACTACAACTTTTGCACTGATCATGTAATGCACACTGGCCCAAAAACCTGAATTCTATTGAAGTCAACTATCTCAGTTAGTAGTAACTGTAGTGCTATGTGTAGCCACCTACTAGCATTGTTAGCATTTCTAATGTAAACAAACATACCTTTTTAGCTCTAGCTGTATTGCTACAAGTATACAGTTAACATTGTTAGCAGTATATACATCCAGTTGCTGGCACTGTTAGTCTTCCTTTTAACAAATTGTTAGCTGTCTGTTAGCAAGCCAGCATAAATAGATAACTGTGACTTATACAGAAGTCATTGTACTTCGAACCATTTGACCATGCAAAAGTGCTGTCATATAGCCGACACTGTACAGTGGAACAACAATGTTAAAATCCTCTGATGTAATGAAATACCAATACCTCAGTAAAGTATACAATTGGTAAACTAATTAGTTAGTGACGGTGATAATGTTCAAAACTGAACATCTAAAAAAAAAAAGAAAAAAGCACAGGGAAAAAACAATTGGTTAACAATCTTCATTCACAGAAGAGGCATGGTTTTACGAGCTGTCAATCATGAGGAATGGAAATAAAAATGGATAAGTTTGTGTCAATCATGAGGAATGGAAATAAAAAGGGATAAGTTTGTATGACACACACACACACACACACACACACACACACAGTTGAGTCCCCAGGCATCAGGTGTACTGAAGTACAGGGTGCTGTAAATGGTTTTAGTGTGCTTCACTGCTCTCTCATAGGTTGATTGATTTGGTAGGCAGTCCTCTGTGACACGCATACACACATCTATCTGTCTCTGAGTGTGTGCAAGTCATGACTAAAAATACTGCCACCCCTGCATCTCTATCAGATAATGCACCACTTCTCCCAGCAAATTGTTGCAATCACTCATTCATTTGTATTCTCATGTTTATTTCTTTTGTTTGCATTGGAACACCATAAAAAAGCAGAGGAAAAACCCCCAAATCTGATCCATTCCACACAGAACTCCAAAAGTGGACTGGAGAGAATTATTAACACTCACTGTGAGGCAACAGTGCTAACCACTGCGCCACCGTGCTCCCCTAAACTTATAATTTTACTTTTATTTCTTTTACCCTTTTGAACTTTTTGCTCAGTTTTACTTTTTGTACAAACCTCACTACATGTCATAGTAACAGATGTCATTTGTTGCTATTTGCAGTCGTGGCCAGAAATATTTGTATTCTCATGTTTATTTCTACCCCAAATCTGATCCATTCTAACTGCTGAAATCACAAATTCTTTGGTATTCTCATATTTACTTTGCAGAGAAAAAAAAAGCCAAATCTGATCCATTCCACACAGAACTCCAAAAGTGGACTGGAGAGAATTATTAACACTTTTTCAAAATCATCAGAAATAGTTGTATTTCAAGCCTGTGATGCTCCTTTAATTTGTAATGAAACTCACCTGTAGCAATCAACAAGTGCTGGCAACATAGAAATCACACTTGCAACCAGTTAAAATGGAGAAAAGTTGACTCAGTCTTTGTGTCATGTGGACCACACTGGGCATGGAGCAATTTGAGAACCACACTAGTGGAAAAGTATGGACAGTCTCAAGGCTCAAAGTCCATCTCCAGAGATCTGGCTGTTCCTGTGTCCACTGTTTGCAATATTGTCAAGACATTTACAGCCCATGGTGCTGTAGCTGATCTCCCTAGACGTGGACAAAAGAGAAAAGTAGATGATAGATTGCAATGAAGAATCGTTCCAATGGTGGATAAAGAACTTCAATCAACTTTCAAACAAATTCAGGCTGACCTGCAGGCACAGTTGGAGAAGGAACCCTTCAAATTTGAGAGACCTGGAGCAGTTGGCAAAAGAACAGTGGTCCAAAATCTCGTAGAGAGATGTAAGAAACTCACTGATGGTCACAGGAAGCAACTGATTTCAGTTATTGTGTCCAAAGGGTGTGCTACCAAATATTAAGTTGAGGGTGTTAATAATTCTGTCCAGCCCATTTTTAGAGTTCTGTGTGGAATGGATCAGATTTGGCCCTTTCTGCTTTTTTTGTGTTGTTCCAATGCAAACAAAAAAAGATAAACATGAGAGTACCAAAGAATTTGTGATTGCAGTAATTTGCTGGGAGACGTGGTGTTATCTGACAGAAATGCAGGGGTGGCAGTATTTTGGCCATGACTGTGTGTGTGTGTGTGTGTGTGTGTGTGTGTGTGTGTGTGTGTGTGTGTGTGTGTGTGTGCTGTATTCAAATCTGATTAAAATCTTACAATATTTACATGATGTCACTTAAACACGGCTGACTAGTAAATCCAGTCATAAAGCTTATTTAATGTGTCTTGGCGTGTTGTTTTACAGACCTGCAATTTGATTGAATGACTGTTTTTATGTTGCTGTCAAAGTGCAAAATTGATCTTACATTTCACTCTAAGTGGAAGCATTGCATGGAGCCTGGAGTGAGCCAGCAGACTATTACACTTCTGTAGGTTTTGTAATTTAAGTTCTTTAAAACCAATTAATTTATGGGTTAATTTAAATAAAGTAGCTCTTGCAGATTAATTTGATCACCTTTGCATTTAATGATGCAGACATTACATTTCCCAATTAACAATTCATTTTTTCTGATTCAACCCTTTTATTACAGATTAAAAGTTAAATTTCAAAATGGAAAAATAAATATTTTTAAAAGGTTTACTTATTAGTCTGCCTGTCATATCTAGCCTTACTGTTCATCTGTGTGCTGCTGTAACACAGACACTTCCCATTTCATGATCACAGTTTAAACAATATCACCACCTAGAAAATATTTATTTCAACTGCAATTGTAATTTTTGTAATTTGCAGTTTTCAAGGTTCAATAGCATTCCAGTGGATTGTCTAGTTATTTTAAATTAAGTGTTGATGAACAGCGGCTCACACATGTACAGTATGTAGCCTAACTCCTCTGCACACTGGCTGTAGGAAATGACAGTCAGAGACATTCAGGGCTTACAAAAGATAAATACAAAACTGAAAAAAAAGTTCAACAAACAATGAGTAGAAGTTATGGACTTGATCAGCCTGGCAGCTGTAGCTCAAGTGTCGGTCGATCCCTAGCTCCACAAGCGGAGTGAGACATTAAACCCAAATTGCTCCCAGTTGTTTTATGTGTAAAGGGGAAAAGTACAAAAAGGCATTTTAAGACTTTAGTGACTGAGAGTTTAAAAATGCCAAGGAGAAAATAATGGAGGAGAAAGGCTGTGACAACGGTGAAAGAAAAGACTGAAGCATTTATTGAGAAGTGGACGAGGGAGATGAAAGAGAGGTACATGAGACAGAAGGCTGCAAAAACATCAAAATATTTTCTCTCAGCCAGCACAGCAAGGATCTAATAGGATTTTCCCCAAAAGGAGAAGGGAGAGAATAAATTAAAAAGATGAGATTTTCATTTCATTGTGTTATTATTTTTCCTGCCTTAATTGCCACAGACGGGTTATTATTTCAGGGTCTGGGCGCCTGAGGCGACGCATCTTAATCTCATCTGGAGGTGAGAGTTTGTAATCCCAGTCGCAGGCAGAGGTGGGGCGAGAATTTCTGGGAGGGCGTTTATTGTGTTACACATCCTGCATCTGGTGGGACAGTTTATTGCGTTACAAATGGCGCAGCGTCACGTGAGTTTGTCCCCTGAGTTCTGGAGGCGAGCGGCAGCATCTGTTAGACCAGAAGCCGCCCCTCATCTGATGGAATTATCTCATCCAAACCAAACACTTACTGTCAAGAAAAATCTGGGCAGTGTGGAGGCAAAACGAGTTTTACTGAGATGCCTCGATGAAATTCTAAAAAGGACCAAAATTAGTTCTTCATCTCGTCTTTATTGCTGAAGGGACTTTATTGAACTCTGGGTTTGAACCTGGAGCTGCTGCTGCTGCACTTTGATTCCATCACCAGGAGGAATTGCTTGGAAAACTGTCGTTTTAGCTGCTGTGGTTGATGAGGAATGATCTGGAGTTGCTTAGGATATACTTGATCAGAGCATTTAAATAGTGGCAGCTGTAGCCATACAGATCAGCTGTGATGTACAGTACACACATTTTACCACATCGTGTCTGTCAGTAACATGCAAAGAACACTATACACACAAATCCTGGAATATTATACCATTCAGGAAAGTGAGGGGATCTAGGCAAAACCACAGTAAATCAGTTTGCAGTCAGCTAAATGAATAAAGCAGGAAGAACTGAGGGCGTTCTGAGGGCATGATAGACAGGTCACAGAGCTCTACAGTGTCTTAGCAGTGTGGTCCAGTGGCATGTGTGGTTTCAGAGACCAGCATCAGTAAGTAAAGCCAATAGGAACAAGACTGAAAAGACTCATCACAGTTTAACAGAACCGGATTTGTAAAATTTCAGGTCACGTCCAAGATGCATCAGCCTCCAGACTGACTAATGTTTACTTCCGACTCCTAAGGAGAAACACACCATAACCTTACAAAACGGAAATATGTCACCTGACAGTATCTCATTTCATTAACTGGTTTATTTACACGTTTCCAATTCTGCCAAAAAAAAAAAAAAAACAAGCCTGAATGCGTACTTAGTTATTGATTGTGTCAGATTTATTTCATGAAGGCAGCAGGAGATG